CTGACCTACATCATGGGCACAAGCCACCTCTGGGGAGCGATGCCCATGCTAGAACCAGAGAGCGGGATGGCTTCAGGACTGGAAGTAGCTGGATAGGGTTGGGGAGCCATACGGTTTGTTCTAGTACCCTTCACTTAAAGCTATCTCATTGACCCTAAGGCTGCTACAATGTAACTCCAGGCAAAACAATCTACCTTTGAGTATCTTTTAAATGTAAGTAAGCTCATTGGGTAACATGTTTCATTCAGCACCCTCCCACCATCACCATTCTCCTGGTGGCACAAAGGACAGAGAACTTGACCGCGAAACAAAAGGTTGGCAGTTCAAACCCCACAGCCACTTTGCAACAGAAAAATGTGGCGGTCTCCTTCCATAAAGATGGTGGTGGTTAGTCGTCTGTAGCCGGCAGGTCATTTCTGAGTCATGCCAACCCTGTTCACGACACAAGCACACCCTCTCCTGTCCCATTGTTCCTATGCTTAAGCCCAGTGTGGCTGCCCTGGTGTCAGTCCATCTGGTTGAGGGCCTTCCTCTGTTTCCCTGTCCCTCCGCTTTACCAAGCATGCTGTCCTTCTCCAGGGTCTGGTCTCTCCCAATGACATAGTAGGTGAGATAAAGTCTTGCCATTCTCTGATTACAGCCTCAGAAATCCCATGGGGCAGTTCTACTCTATCCTTTAAGGTCACCATGTGTTGGAATCAACATGACATTCCCACAGCAACAAGAACTTAGAAAAAACAAACAAAAAACAGTCACCACTGAGAGTGTCCCAACCCGAGGCCCCCCGGGGTGTGTCTGAGTAGAGATCTGCTCCATCGGGTTCTCAGTGGCTGATTTCCCAGATGTAGATTGCCAGCCCTTTCTTCCACGCTGCCTCTGCATGGAATTGAACGTCCAGCCATTTGGGTCGCAGTCCCGTGTGTTCGCCATTTGTACCGCCCATGGATTCCGAGTAGTTTCATGACCTAGAGAAATTGTGACATCAACGGGACCGTTTGGGATCTGCTAAAGGGAGAACCGTGACACTGAGCAGTTGTCCAGGATCTGTGACCCCTGGTGTAGTCTTAGCCAAGGTATGTGGCCTCTCTTTCAGCCATTTCATCGGGAAAATGGGGCCAAAGACAACATCGATTGTGTGCTTCATGGAGAATTTAAGAGTGAGCAGAACTCTAATGTGTGGGAAAGCACATGCATGCTTTCCTAAGGCAGGCTCGGAGCCATCTGCCCAGCCACGGGGTGCTCCCCCCGGTGGGACCAGAGCCCCTTGCAGACTCTCAGCTCAGCTCAGTTTGGAGGCCGGTGGCACAGGAACCTGAGGGGGGTGGAAAGGTATGCCCCTCCGGAGACAGCATCAGTTCTGTGGACAAATAGATAAGTGGTGGGTAGGGGTGGGGAGAGAAGGATGGGGTCAGTATTCCAGGTGCGGGACAATGAGTCTCCCAACACGCAAAAAACCAAACTCATTGCCACGGAGTCAATTTCAACTCATAGCGACCCGACAGGACTGTCCCTGTGGGTTTCCAAGACTATGACTCTTTACAGGAGTAGAAAGCCTCTCCTTTCTCTCAAGGAGAAATGGGTGGTTTTGAACTGCTGACCTTGCAGTTCGGCAATGTAACTGTTATGCCTCTATTCAGCAAACGGGTTGTGTTCTATCTCTAACCTACAGTTCACAGTTAAACCACCCCACAGAACCATGGGAGAAAGATCTGTCTATCTGTTTCTGTAACAATTAACTAACCCAAACCAAGCCCATCGCCCTCCAGTCAATTCTGATGCTTGGCAACCCCGTACGTCTAAACCCTTATGGAAGCAGGTCACCTCACCTCTCTCCCAAGGAGCAGCAGACGTGAGGGCAGAAGGCAGGCTCTCTCTGGGAGCTGGCGATTCTCCCCGCAGTCCTTACTCAGTCTGTGGCGCCCAGTCCGACGGTCCACTCCGTCAGGTGCCTGCACCTCTTGTCTGGCCTCCCAGCCAGCCGGGGTGAGGAGCAGGTGACGATTAGTGCTGTGACTTTGGGGGCTGCAGGTTTCGAACCCAGCGCTCACCTCAGCTAGTGTTCTCGGAGAGACAAGTGACAGGACCATGTGGGAGTGCTGGTCTCTGCTTTCCTGGGACTGGGAGGGAATCCTTAACAAGACAGGCCCCAGGTTCCACATGCTTCCTCCTCTTTCCCGCTTGGCCCCTCTCCTGCCAGCGGGCCCTGCACTGGGACAGCCCGCACCCTGGGGCCACAGGGCTCAGAAAGGAAAGGGAGAAGACCCGTCTCCAGAGCTAAGCCTGTGAGGAGGGCAGAGCCCACAGCTGTGCGTTAGGCAAAAATGAGGGGGTTATAAAGGCCACAAAGGTTTTGTGAAAGTTTGGGGCCAGTCAGTAGGTCTTTATTTTTAAGGAGGAGAGGGGCTTGCTATCCCCCTGGAGAGGAGATGTCCCTGCTCCTGTTGGCAGGGGCTTGGGCTGCTGTTTGATCTTTTCACTCCGGTATTGGATGTGAGCTATCTGTAAACCCGCTCTCCCTCTCCTCTGCAGTCAGGTGGCCGCTGGGAGTTGGTGCCTCTGAAGATTATGTGTGAAATACTAATTGGAGGCTGCCTTGTGAATTCTGCCAGCAATTTACAGTAGTCGTCTGAACTCTCTGACGAAGGCCTGTCTTTCTCTTCTCCCAGCATACGTTGTATCGCGTTAGTAGAGTTATTTTGGATACCATCAGAGCCGAGAGGAGCTCTGAAATGAAGAAAATGGAATAAAGCAATGATGAAAATACTTCAGACTATGTGTAGGCAGTGTAAGGGGCTCAGTAGTTCCATTCTCTCTCTATTCCTGGGAGGACCCAGGCTGATGTCCCCGCCAGTGCACATGCCACAGCCACCACCCACCCATTAGTGGGGGCTTCATGTTGCCTGGGTGCTGAACAGGTTTCAGGGAAGCCTCTAGACTAGTGGTTCTCAACCTTCCTAAGGCCGTGGCCCTTTAACACAGTTCCTTATGTTGTGGTGACCCCCCAACCATTTTGTTGCTACTTCGTAACTGTCATTTTGCTACTGTTATGAATCAGGTGACCCTGTGAAAGGGTCATGCGACCCCCGAAGGGGTTGCGACCCACAGATTGAGAGACCCACAGATTGAGAACGTTGCTGTAGACCCAGACAGCCGTGCTTACACATGGAAACTATCATCTCCCCTCCCCCCCAAACAAAAACAACCTTTTTCGTTTTCCTTGGGATTGAAGAGAGAAAGCTCTCTCAGTGCCAGGCTGTGTCCCAGGGGCTCTAAGGCCCGATGGACAGGGCTTACTCCTAACCTCCATTCAGTAATCCAGCCCCCTCCCAGCCAAGGCCTGTGCCTGGGGGGGAGAAACTGGCCTCCTGGGGCCTTTCCCAGATTCCTGCTGGAAATAGGCTCTCAGAGACTGAGGAAGAGCCTCCTAGCCAGAAACTGAGAGCATGCCACCGGTAGCGGCAGCATACAGGGATGACAGGGCCCACTGCCCAGCCCACGTGCAGGGTGAGGCCTGCCAA